AGCAGCAGCAGCAGCAGTAGCAGCAGTAGCAGCTGTATGACGGCTGGCGTCCTCCCGCGCGCATGCTCCTCCCCATGCGACCTCAATCGTAATCAACTCATATTCCTCCTCCCGCTGCGCCCAGTAGCCGACGAAACTCATCGAAGCACGGCTCCTTAATTGATGGACTGAAATCCGTCGAGAGTCCGATTTTTCGCTGCCCAGCGCAGTGTCAGTTGCACATGTACACGGTCCGCAATCCTCCGCGCCCTCCCGTATCTGTTCGCACGCACACGCCGACCTGAACGCGGACGCTTCTCGCTTGACAGTTGTCTCCCCCTCTCTCTCTCTCACAGGGCGAAGGACATCGAGAAGAGTAAGGAGTACGCCGACACGTGGAAGAAGGATGACGACGGCAAGGTGAGCGGCGGACAGCCCGGAGCACGCGTTATCGATGAACGCAGCGGCGTCGGTCCGATGGGAGGTTACATCACCAGGTAATGCAGCGACTAGTAATGGCAGCATAATTTTGGAGGGAATCTCGGGAGAATGAGCGCAGGAATAAATGCACAACGAGGAGGGAATCTCGGGAGAATGAGCGCAGGAATAAATGCACAACGAGCGGGCCAAATAGAGAGGGGTCGGCACGGGGAGGAGAGCGAAGGGAGAACAAGAGAGGCGAGAGATAATGTGAATGCAGTGAGATGGAGAGAGGGTTGGTGAAGGTAGCACGATTGTAAGGGATTGCGGGAGGGAAAGTAAGCGAAACGGATAGATTGAGTGCGCTGGGAAAGGAGAAATAGCGAGAGAAGAGGAGACTAAACGAGGGAGAAGGAATGTGGAAACTGTCGTACTGATAGTTCACCTTTTGTTAGTGGGAGGTGAGGAGGTTCGTAACGTGGCATCTAGACGTACGTCAAGATCTAAGTCACGTATCTCATCTGTACGCTCTGTCGGAGTGCCAGCATGCCGCCACGGACCGCATCCGCCCCCCATCATCCACCGTAATTAACGTTGTTATCCCATAAGTGGAAATGGGCACCGAGGCAACATCTCTCATTGCGCGCGATCGGCAGGCTGACAGCGTCGCGATTCCGGCGGCGGACGTAGAAAAACAACAGCGGCCGCTTTGCCGAGTTGAATTCCCGCCGGTGCTGCCTGTCGGCTGGCCTGCCGTGCGGCGCACGCGCGCACGCACTGTCACTCGATTTGGCAAGTCGTTAAAGTCTCTCGAGCGTTTTACGTGCGCGGTGGTGTTTTAACGACCGACCATTGATTCAACTGACACGTCGATAATGCGTGTTGACATAATCGGCGCCGCGCTGTACACCATTAGGAAATTATAATGGTTACTTATTGGAACATCGAGGGAGAAGTTGCGTTATATGCTAGTATGCCGGTGAGCTCTGTAATAGGTTGCGTGTTAAGCCGAGCGCTGTACACCCCTAGCTGGCTTCATAGCTATCTTCATTCTACCTCTACGGCTAATGTAGGCGGTGTTGTGCGTATTAAGCAGTCTACGCATGTGCTTGCCCCCACCGGGATGGCCTCATTGGCTTCATTGAAGGCATCGCTTATTAAATTTACCAGTTGTGATCCGATTTTCGCACTCTGATTTCGAGTTTAACCTGCTCTCTCTCTGCCTCTACTTCTCTGCTCCTCGTGTCATCTTCTCTCGATGCGGTCTCTCTATATATATATATATATATATGATAGGTGCAAGAGAGAGAAGGGTGCGATGAAGGGAGGACAGGCGATATAGGAGATAGGATAGATCAGGATAGATAGGATGGGGTGGATGGATGGATGGATGGATTTAAATGGAGTGAATTTATGAATAGGATGGTATGAAGTGGATGGGAGTGGGTGGATAGTATGGATTATTATCAAGAGTGAGGATAATAGGAGAAGAGTATGAGCAGGCGCTTGTTTTAAGCGAGCGTTTTTGCATAGTGTTTCAGCTGTGTAAATATTCTATCAATATGTGAATAATATATTCAAACTTTACCGTTGTTGTTTCTGTCTATAGATTGCTCCTTAATCATATGACACCGACGCAATTTAGCCTAGAAAAATCGTATGTGTTCTTGCAAAAAAAAGTTCTTTGAATACGAAGCTACGGTTTCAGGCCAGGCCAGCAGGTTTTCACGAAATAACGCGCAGAGTTGTTCGGCGCAAGATAATATGGAGGGCGGCAGGCACCTAAGGTTGTGAACTGCGGGACTGCTGGGGGCTGTTGGGGATATTAAGTAAGCACAGTAACAGCAGGCTTGTGTTCGCTTCAGTCAGGAAACTACGATGGCAACACTAGCTAAAATCAGCTGTCTGAAGCTCGCCGTAAGCACACATCTTATTTCTAGCACGCCTGGAAACAGCCTACACGGCTGAATACAATTCGAGTGCTGTAATAATGTCTCGGCGCAGCGTTGCCGGTCACTAGAGCAATAGAACATACATCCAGTGAATAAAAGCTTGGGCCGCGCGAAAACGATGTGGCGCTTCATGTATGGTGAAGAACTGTGTGTAAACGCGTGTGCGTATTGCACCAATAACTGTTTTTGAAGAACACATGGCGATTTTCAGGCCTACAGAAATAAATCTGGTGTGTCGATATGTGTTAGGAGGAGATTAACATCATGACCGAAAAGGCAAGGTTTACCAGTTGAAATATATTTATTCACATATTGATAGTAATGATTATACAAAGTTGAGAGAAGCTATGCAAAACGCTGTTAAAACGGTGGTCATACTCTTCTCCTAGTTATATACTCTTGGATTATTATATAATATACTAGTATATATATATACGTATATAGAGAGAGCAGAGAGAGAGAGAGAGAGAAGAGAGAAGGAGTAGAGAGGGGGGAGTGCGGGCTGGGGAGGAGTGAAGGTAGGCGAGATGAGTGCGTGTTACGTGACCTGCCTGACCTCTACGTTGCCGCAGGGTGACGAACGACGCGCGGGAGGATGAGATGGAGGAGAACATCGGACAGGTAGCGGACATGCTGGGCAACCTCCGCAACATGGCCATCGACATGGGCAGCGAGGTCTCCTCACAGAACCAGCAGCTGGACAGAATAAACCAGAAGGTAATGCGTCGCGCGTTGATCTTTCACCTCGTACTGATGACGCATGACGTCATTTCGACCGGTGACGTCATCGTGACCTTTGACCTCTCTTTTTTTAATCCGTGTCGTCATGACCCGGTGATCTTCATTACGACCGTGTTTGACCTTCGTCCGCCTCGTCTTTGCGAGGTTTTTTTCCTGCAGCGCCGGACTGGTTTGTGTTTGGGTGTTATAGTGATGAGTATACGTGCCCGCCCTCATTCACTCGCCGCTCCGTGTACACGTGTTTCAGCGTTCACTGGGTTTCCCGACGTATGTTGAATGTATGGTGTTTGATGTGGATGACCGCGATGACAGCCTAACTGACTCCCGAACCTAAACCTGACTATGTCTGTGTTAGCTTTGCTGTTTCACAGTTCGTACAGAGCATGTTCAGTGGATGTGTGTGTGTGTGTGTGTGTGTGTGTGTGCGCGCGCGCGCGTGCGTGCGTGCGTGCGTGCGTGCGTGAGTGCGTGCGTGCGTGCGTGTGTGTGTCACTGCCTGGCAACGTTGTCCTCACATGCATTTATTAGCCGTGTCTTTAGAAGTGATTTTCTCGTTTAGCATGGGCGGATCAATCTTTAAGGCATAAGACAAATGTAAGGCAAGACAAAATTAATGTAAAACTAATAGTCGCTAATTAGTTTTGCTTTGAGTTTCGAGAAACGGAACCCCTGTATAGCCTTACATGTGTTGATTGAGTGCGCCCGTGAATGTATCAGCTAAGATGCACAGCAGTGTGCTGCTGTTTCTTAGCGTTTCGTTGGCGATTTCATAAGGGCTCATATGCTCATACTCTATGCACATTGGATCCGCCCTGCTTAATATTCTATAGAATTACGGTCATTATGTAGTACGCATATGACCTATAGGATTACGTCTATCACCGTGCGGTTTCCATACACACGGGAAGCCTGTCGGAAGCTTCCCTTATCACGGGGTGCGGGAACAGGATCCTGGCTTCCTCGCTTCCCTGCGACCTTTCCGCGGCAGGTCAGCAGCGGCGAGTTCCTGATGACGTTCGTCCGGTTTTGTTTTTCTTCATTTTTGTCCCTTTTCTCAGCAGCGCCCATCTTGGAAACGGGGGTGCGTGTAAAGTCTGTAAACTTGTAAATTGTAAGCGCGATTTGCTGGTGTTACAGGGCAAGTTGGTCGATTCGCGTATCGCGGCGGCCAATCAGCGCGCCGAGAAGATCTTGTCCAAAGATTAGACAGAGCGAGAACGGTGACTTTTATTCCGGCACTCCGCCATTCATTCTCTAACTCTCGTTCGTCGAACTAACGCAATTTTATTAACCCATACGCTCGCTTCTTTCGCCGGCTTTTACATATCTGTGTTGGCACTAGGGGTTTTCGTCGTTGCGTAACTGAGTTCTAATCGCTGATGTCCGTCAGTGACTATGGCTGCGATTTTTGGAATTGATCAGCTAGCTGCGCGCTGCGTTTTTTCTTGGCAGTGGCTACGGGTACGGTAGCCGTATCTTAATGTCTCGAGGCTACGGGTACGGGAGTCCATTCGCTTTCATACTTAACGAGACAAAGATGGCGGCGGTGGCGCCAGATTTCGAAATAACGCTTTGGGAAATAAATTCACGATTTGAGAGTTTAGATGAGCTAGAACCCTAACCCTAACCCTAACCCTAACCTTAACCCTAACCCTAACGCCAAAAAAGGGCTTCAACGAACGACGGCTACCGTACCTCCAGCCACTGCGTTTTTTCTTACCCACATATTTTACTTGGCTATGCTTTGTCCTGACTGACTCGAGCAAAGTATGTTCGCTGCGTTCTGTTCTATCATATATATATATATATAATATATATATATATATATATATATTATATATATATATATATATATATATATATAGTTGCGCCTGACGAATCTTCTCAGCGGTATTTATGCTGTTACTAAGCTCGCCAGCTTTTCTTGCATGACGTCATCGCCGGAGTCACCGCCGCTTGTGTAGATCTAGTAGATAACGTACATTCACTAAATTTTCTGTGCGTTTCTCTCCTGTCGTTGCACTTTTCTCTCGCTCTCAGAGCAGTTAGCGGTCTCACTCTCACAGCTTCTGTGCTCTGCCCGAGAAAGTTCGCTACTGCTGCTGCAACGTGGCGGAGGCATATATCGATTGCGTTGAGATTTACATTTAAGTTGATAAGCGTGGTTGAAATGGTGCTGGCAGTTTTCTGTCGTGACGACAGAGCAACGCGTTCTCCACGAGTTTGCAGAAAAAGAACGAGTGCAATTTTTTTTTTATACATATACGATATATATATATATATATATATATTTATTTATTTTTATCCGAAATGCATGAGACTGATAGTGCACAGTCTTGTGCATTACTAAATTTATGTGTGTACTGTATATATTTTAGAGAAAATTGTTTTGGCAAGCATAATATAACAAATATAGTTCTCAGTAACATACAGCGGGCGTATCAATGTAGAACGCACGTCCGGAAATTGACGTGCATTAATGATGACATGTGCTCACATCCTCAAAAACCATTTTACATTCCAATATCATTCTTTAATGGTTCCGTCCACGATGCCATGCTGTAATCTAGTATTACCATGAGGTTTGTCAGATGCTGTCTGATAATTGCTAGAAACCGGAACGCGTTAGCGCAAATATAGGGATGATTTCTTGCCTCCCGTTGAGAATTCCGATTAGGGGTCCCATGAAATTATCGCCGCACCATTCCATTACTATATATATATATGTCAGAACAAATGTTGACGCTGGCTGCAATCCCACGCGGCGTGTGTCTCTCTATATATTTCGGATGGTGATGTTTTGAAGCGAAACTATCTATCGCATGGTAAGGCCTATATACAGCCAGGACCCGCCTAAACGGTGGCGCCACCATCTTTAAGGAGCGTCCTTCATCCCCGGTCACCTTCATATGCACGGAACCATGGTTGGGCCTGATACGCGATCATAGCGTTGCGTACTTGGTTGACCTATTTACATACCTGAGCATAGCACACGACCACCGTGTCCATACACAGTGCAGTGTTTGCGCTAATCGTCAACACCGCTACTCAAAGATCTATCACCTGTGCGCATGCGCAGATGCCACAGCCTGCTCACCAAGCATGCGTCTATAGTGTTTGCTATGCACACATTCATATTTGTTAGGATCTCCTTTATATTCTAGCGTGCACGTTGTCATCTGCCTGTGACCTTTATACTAATTGCTCCCTGACTATTGACAGTGTCTTTTGTGATGAGCCACGTCTGGCGTGTTCCATGTATGTGAAATAATCCTGTGTTCATACACGAACACCGGTACGGGTATAAATTCATGTATATGCGCACGTGTTTAAATATGCACTGCTTGCTCGGCTATGCATTGAAACGATCGTTGTAGCATTCAATTTTAATCTGAATGTATCAATATTATACGCATGCTTACATTGCACACTCACATATATAGCAGTAATATGCGGAAGCAGAACTATTGATGTCCAATATTAGTTTTCTTATTTGCGAATAAATTAGGCAGTGTTTGATTAGCACGTATCCCAACTGGAATGAAATATCTATCCGTAATCTTTGATAAATAAATGATTGGCAATATTTTCGGTCGCGGAAAGTAAGTGGTTACGGTCGTTGGTATGTAGACAAATAACAACGAAATTTCTTTACGTTTTATTATCAACGGACCGTCTAGATGTTACTGTACATACTGAATAGCCTGGAGCGTGATTTATCCACCAAGTATAGCAGCTAATGCCTGCTTCAGTACATCCCACGCGTGAAGATGCATATACACACATTCATTTTCCATTAACGGATAAGAGTCATAAGCCTTTTGGCGACAGGGACGGCAAAATCTTTCTGGCTCGGACATGAAAAGCTGTTGTGCGTGCGTGCGTGCGTGCGTGCGTGCGTGCGTGCGTGAGTGAGTGCGTGCGTGCGTGCGTGCGTGAGTGCCTGTGAGGACGCATAGTACTCCCCATCTCTAGGCAATAATGCGGCAAATATGTGCCTCATGTAAATTTTTCGTGATTTTTTTTGGTACCCCTTCCCGCCCCCTACCAACCCTCAATATTCCCCCCGCACATTCCTGTAATCTGTATACAACATGTTTTTTTACAAACAATCCAGTTTAGTACCCGTAGAGCATGTTGAATTCTCCCATCCCGTATCCCCTATCATGTATCATAAAATCAGGAGTGTATAATATAGATATCTATATTACACACCCCTGATAAGATCCCATTACATTGAGGTTGGAGCAGAGACATGCCCTCAGTGTGCGTCCTTCCGCCCACCACTAGACATTCGCACCTGACACTCCTGCTACCACCCATGTCTGTTATGAGAGAATGAACAGCACTCTCTATATCTACAGGAGTGTATCAATCATATATATCCAATCAAATATTGATACACTCCTGATATCTAGGCAAGCGGGCGGCATGCACCCTGTTCCTTTGTCTCCTCTACCTCATCTGCATTATATAGCAATAAATTGATCTCCCTTCCTCCCACCACCACACCCACCCCGACCCACCCCTCGTAATTTCCATGTATATAGTAACTGTTTAGACATCCCCCTCCCACCCCTCAGGCTCTGCATTATATAGTAACTGTTTAGACACCTCCTCCCACCCCTCAGGCTCTGCATTATATAGTAACTGTTTAGATGCCCTCCTTCCCGCCCCCTCCCACCCCTCAGCATTAATCTGCATTATATAGTAACTGTTTAGACCCCCCCCCCTTTCCGCCCCTCCCATTCCTCAGCATTTCCACATCAATCTAACAACATGCTTTTTCGCAGCCACTATAGCACCCGTGGATCATGTCGCATTTCCCCGTCTCATATATCCAGTATGCCGTATCGTAGCTGTGTACGTACATTGAGTAATAATTGAGTATATAGTAATTGTTTAGACTTACCTTGCTCCCACCCTTCAGCATTTCCACGGACAAAATACTTTATATGGTCTTTTGCTAGACCAGATAAATAATTTTTTTCAAACAAGCACAGATGCTTGTAATATAGGTTAGCACACAAGCCCATAGTTTTGTCGTAAACTCGACTGAAATAATCAAGACATCGAGTGGGCTATGTGACCGGTTAAGGCCGCCGCACACCA